GGGTATGGAATAGGTGATGGCACTGAGGGAAAGCAGGTTAGTCCACTTTGATCCATCACATGGGATGGCGGAATAGCAAGACCACATGGCTCTCCAAATGGGCTACCAGACCAGCAGGACATTTCGAGGCCAGTCCAGCTTGGGCACCGCGGACCCCAGGCGGGCACTGTCCGACCTGCTTGCCCGGCCCGCAGGCCCGGGCGCGCCGGGACACGGGCCGACGGCTCTCGGCTGGGCAGGAGCACCGACAGGCCCAGGTACTCCAGGAAGCGACCGCGGCGGTGGCTCGTCCGCCCCTCCCACCCATCGGGCCATCGCCCTGGGCCAGGTCGCCTCACCTCGCGCAGGCGGCGGGGTCTTCGGCGTCTCGGCAGCTCTGCCGACCATCTCCGGCCCGCAGCCACCGCCGCCGCCACCACCACCGCTGCCGCCATCCTCGGGCGTCAGCGTCTTGGCGTCATCACAGCGCGCGCCAGACGTCAAAACAAACTCAGGCCACCCAGGGGGCTGGCCGTGGGCGGAGTCACGGAGAGGCGCGGGCGGCGCTCCCTTGAGCGGCCTACCAATCAGCACCTTTGGGGCGGGAGCCAGGCGTGTCAATTTCCCAAAATAGCCCAACCACGGGCTTAAGGCGGGGCCTACGATAGGAAAGGGAAAGTTTCTTGTGAGAGGAAAGGAGATTTTGTAGCTGAGATTGTAAACTTGTTTCAGCAGAAGTTTCTGGAAGTAGTGCAACTTCATAAAGGTATTTAAATTATGGTAAGTAACTAATCCATTGCCATTGGTTCAGAGCCGACTAATAGCTGACCCTCCAGCGAGTTTTCAGAGGCTGTAAACTCGCACGGGAGGAGACTGTCCCATCTTTCTCTGAGTAGTAGCTGGTGGTTCCAACTGCCGACCTTTGGGTTGGCAGCAAAACTCATTACCCAGTAGGCCACCAGTTAGGAAAGTATACTTTTTAAATTGTATTTAAAATATATCAGCCAGTTAGATGTACTTTCGATTCCTATTACATTAGAGTTGCAAATAGTTTAACTGAGGGATGGTGAGATCAGTACTGGAACAACTGAGTGTAATCTTTTCTGTTTATTTACACTTTATTTTTGTTGCTATTTAATTAGGTATATCCTGAGACTGCAAAAGCAGTCAAATTTCTTCTTTTAAAAAAAATTTACCATTCACAGTAACTTCTCTGTCGGAGAATTGTTTTACTCTACAGTCAAAGCAAATTGCAGAATGATAAAAAATCAGTTGCTGCAAGTAATAAGACTGTAGACCCCAACCATCTTCTCCATTTCATCCTGTTCATTTATTCAGTAAATTTTTATTGAGTGCTTGCTTTAGCTGCACATATACTAAAATCAGAACGACACAGAGAAGGTTAGCATGACCCCTGCGCAAGGATAACAGGCAAATTCATGAAGTGTTCCATATTTTAGACGCATCTGTTCCTGGGAATAAAAATCTATTAATTTTTTTTAAAAAAGCTTTATTGAGCACTTACTGTGCACTTGGAACTGTTTTTGTATAAGTCAATGTTATAATTTAAATTTTAAAATATATTAAGACCAGTAAGACGCCACATTATTTTTACATGGCAAGATTTCATACAAGATTCCATTTTAAAAGTGAAAATTTTAAGTTGTTTCTAAAAGTAATATCATGGACTTTGGGGACAAGCAAACCTGAGATCAAATTTCAGCTGTAACACTTCTTTGTGGCTTTAGGTGAAACATGTGCTCTCTCTAGACTCACTTTTTTAATCTATATGATGAGGATCATAATCTTGACCTCACTGAATTGTAAGAATTAAACATAATACTGAATTCCAGGACTGATGGAGTTCAGAAATTCACACGACACCCATTTTCTAATTCAGCAAATTAATTAAAGATTTATTATATCCTTACTATGTACAGATGCTGGTCTGGATTTTAGTGAAGAGCCTAGGGGCCTGAGGTGACCTAATATGTTGATGAAGAATAGGGAACTGGGACCCACGACATCCAGATCCTAGACTTTCACTTCTGAATAATAAGCTTCTCTTTGTTCACAGAGCTGCATATGTGAGGGACACCATCACCATGATGTCCTGGCCTGAGCAGCTGTGCCCAGGGCTCAGTCAGCTTGGCTATCAGCCTACCCCTCTCCTCAAGCTAAGGGATAAAATACACAAAGCCCTTAAGCCCCTAGCCAGCGAGCAGATTCTGTACCCACCCTCCACCCCCCACCACTATCACCACACACACAGTCCAGGTCATTCAATTCTAGGGAAAAGCTGGGACTTAGGGAGTGAAAACCAGAGGAAAGTAGGTCACAGAAGGAGGATAATAATCTTCTCCCTACCATCCCATGACAAGCCAGAGCAGTAGGTCCCTTACTCCTGGAAGCTGGCTGTTGCTGGCCATCCACCAAGAGTGGCTCCAGAGAGATTCTTGGGGTCTGGAGCATCAGCACTATCCTTCCTAGCAGTATGTTCAGGCTGAGGAGGCCGCCCCATACTAACACATCTTCCATGCATTGGGGCCATTATCAGTCCAATTGCTCTTGCTGATAGGAAAGCTTCCTATATTCAACAAGACTTTCGTTTTCATTCCACATCCTTGCACAAGTGCACGTTTTATATCCAGTACTAAACTGAGTGTTGGAGACATAAAGAAAACTCTGCCAAGGTTTTATCCTTGGGTAGCCCACCATAGGGAATTCTGACCTAACCCAGATAATAACAAAGCAGTGCTATCATTGCTGTGACTGGAGACAGCTAAAGTGTATATGTATTGCTTCTAATCTAGCTTGCACTCAGGGCAAGGGAAAACTTTATGCAAGTGATGTTGACAAAGAATAGGCATTTCCCAGATGGAAATGAGGAGGGTATTCTGAACATAGAGAATAGATGTACAAAGTCCCAGAAGTGAGAAAAGTTGGGTTTTCCTTTTGAGTAAAGGTCTGGTAGTTCAGAGTATAGCTTCTGGAGAGAGACAAAAGGCCCAGGATCTGGGTGGGGTTTTTCCTGTGATTTTTCCTTCAGGTGATGTGAGAGGATAAGTAATGAGTGGTTAGGAGCCAGAAGTGGGATAAAAGTCTAAATGATGAAGCACTAGAGATTGAGAGTAGTAGCTCATTGAGGCATCTGAGCTAGCTACATAATAGGAAGCTGGGCAGCATTGATAAGCTATGGTCCCTTGTACATCATCTGGATAAAAGGCTCTGGAGGCACTTGTCACTCTGCAACCTAAGAAGGTTCTCATCAAACCTGATTCAGTCCTGGGTAAAGGGGGTGTAATTTAGGCTGGCAAACTCTGGGTTCCCACCACTCCTCCTTACTAGCTAATCCTTTTGGTCTCCTCCTTGTAAAGCTCTCTCCAACCTTACTCTACCAATCCTCCACCACTATCACTTGCTGGTCTTCATGCTTGTCTCCTATAACCCCATATGATGGTAGTCCTTCTCCGAAAATTCCCCTAACCACAAAGACTGGGAAGATGCCTCCTCTATGTTCCCACAGAAGGGAGTTTCATGAGTGAACTACGCTGTGGACAGCACTGACTTCTGTAGAGCCTTGTACAGGAGTCTGGATCAAGGGAAGGAACTTAACAAAAGGATCAATTTTTCAATTTAGAAAGCAGAGACTCAAATGGAGAGAATGAAAACAGAAGTCAATGAGAAGCCATCACAGCATCCACAGTAATTGTGGAATGCTGGCTTCAACAAGGGTTCTGGAGGTAGTGATAAAGAACTGAAGGCTGATCAAAGAGTTTTGAACCCTGGCTGGTCCCATCCTCGCTGAGGTCTTCTTTCTTCCCTCATGATCCGGCCCATGCTGATTCAGGCCCTTCCTCTCCAGCAGGATGAGCACGTGTTCCCTACTTCAAGCCCTCATGCCACTGCTTCAGGAAGCCTTTTGGGATGGTTGTGACTTCATGATGAATTCCTCTTCTTACAGAACAAGCTGGTGAAGAGCAGAGGTCACTGCAACAGGGTATCAGGGACTTGAATGTGGACTGAGATAGGGGCTGCTCAATTTCTGGAACAGGTCCACCTCAGATGAATCAGGACCCCAGAGTGAGAGGTCTCCCCTTAGTCTGAGCTGTGTCTTGAAGGCTGAGGTGGTAGTCTCGATGGAAGGAAGAAGAGGTGAGATGGTAAGGAGCCTGGAAATTAGAGGGACTGATAGGAAACAGATTAAAGAACATTCCCGCCTCCTCAACAGTAACCAGGATAGAAGGGGATGGGCTAGGAATTCAGGCTTCCTCTCCCCCTTTACCTGGGAGGGCCAAGAAAGGGCTGTGAGGATAGGGAGGATCTTAAATCTCCCAGAGAATTCTCCGGAGCTAAACATAATGGAAAGCTTTGCTTTACGCTGCAACTACCCAGGGAAATGGGTGTTTTCGAGAATGAGAAGGATTGAGTCCCCAGTGGAAGTCCCAAGCCCCACCCATGCCTGGGACCTATCCCAGCTTCAGGATTCCCCTCTTCCTCCCCCACCAGGGCACCTGGGAGACAGAAAGCAATTGAGTACAATACCATGATGGTATGCCCTGCCTTTCAAAAGTTCGATTTACGCAGCTTCACTTTTAGGGAAGATTTAAGACTTGGTTTTGCTAAAAAAAGAAAATTTTTAAAAAACCAACCCAAACCCTCTCCAAAGATCGTTTTTGCAAAAATCAAAACCAGCAGCGGTTGAGGGCCAACATTTGTTTGGCAGCGCACTACCCCAAGTAGAGAAGGTGGCGGCGCCAGGAACACTGTGTGTTAGTGTTATTTTAAGTTCTATGTGTGAGTTGGTGTATAGTTTACTGGGTTCTTTGTCAGGGAATATGCAAACATTTTGCCCCTAAATTCTTTGCTTTCTGCTATCGAAAGGTTCCACAGGCACGCTCTACTTTCAGACAGCAGGGGAAACCTGTACCTTTAATGAAAGCCGAGCTGGCACCGCCGAGCCCCAGGTGGCTGCCCTTCCGGCCCGCTGGAGTCAGGGGCGCTGCCACTGCATGGTGTGGCTAGGCCAGGGGCCCCAGGAGGCAGGCGAGTGCCAGCGCAGCCGCCAGCAGCGAGGGCGCGGGCTCCGGGGTGCCCGCTGGCGCAGTGGCCCGCAGCGTCTCCTGGTTGGTCTCCGGGCCCACGCCGCGCTCCCACACGCGCACCGAGGCGCCGCACAGAGCGTGCAAGTTATCCGGGTGCGGGGCCCGACGAGCCTCTTGCTGCAGCGACTCCCACACGGCGGCAGCCTCCTCCGGGCAGCCCGACAGGACCCTTGAGGCGCAGGCATGAAAGTCATTCCAGGATCTGTTAAAATGTGGAATTAAGGATTTTTATGCAGGATGAGGATGGTGCCAGAGATTGGACCACCTCCCTCGCACCTTCCTTTTACCTGCAGATGGTCTCCAGCTCTCCTCCACGTCCCATGCTGTCCCCCAAGCGGATAAGACACTCGGCAAAGCCCTGGTATATGGTGTCACAGTGGCCTGGGCCCTCTGTGGCTGCTGCTAGGGGTGGGAAAAGGACTGGGGGATGGGAGTGGAAAATAATAGATGGGATGAACCGGCCCCCTCCTTGAGCCATTGGGGCTTATTTACCTGGGGCGCTTGGGGACGTGACTCAGCTTGAAAAGAATACCCCAGGGATCTGAAGGGACCATCTGGGATCACCTGCCTCAGCCTCTTTGGAGGCAGGACCTGTACCCAGATACATGCTGAGAAGCAGCATCTCTTCTTTGGGGCCCTGGGTCAGATGAAGGTGGTCCAGGTGAAGGAGACAGGACCCAGTAGAGGGAAAGGCCCTGGGGTAGCATCTAGTCTCCCTGTGGCTTAGATGAGCTTCCTGTGGTCCCCTCACCCCGTTCCCAAAGATACATTTTTTTGGAAGGGACAAAGGATAGTAGAAGACGGGTCTATTTCAGGCCAAACCCTCAAAGAGGACCTCAGGCACCCTATGGCTGGTTTAGGAATACTGCCAGATCGTAAGTTCTTTCTTATCAGAAGAGGGCTATAGAGTTTTAGAGTCCTTACCCCACAACCAAAGGGTCTTGTAGCCACAATAGTAAAGTACATGGCTGCTGAGAGAAAGAACAAGGGTTTGAACCTACCAGCCACTCTGTGGAAGAAAAATGTGGCGGTCTGCTTCCGTAAAGAACCCTATTAAAACCCCACGGGGTAGTTTTACTCTCATCTATAGGGACACTGTAAGACTCAGGAGCAATGGGTTTTTCACCCACGGATTCAGTTTCTGACACTCACATTCCATTCTGAAGTCACTGGCACAAATCCGGTCCTCATGGTATCCTCCCTAGAGCACTAGTATTTTCTCTTTACCCTGATTCCCAGATCTCAGTAAAGTAGTGCCTTTTCCCAAGGACTCCTAAACTCAACAGCTGGGTCAGGAGAGAAGTGTGGCCCCAGTTGCCCTGGCCAGGTCCCAGATGTCTACACTCACCAAGAGGCAGCAGCAGCAGCGGCCCCAGCACGAAAAGCGGCCGGTGGTGGCGGTGGCGGCAGCGGCTGCAGCAACAGAGCATCTTCCCAGCTCAGAGCCTAGTGCTAACCCCAGCAGCTTAGAGTAGCTGATGGGCCCATCCCCTGGAGAGAGGAGCTGTGATTGGCTGGAAGTCAGAGGCGGGGCTGCACTGCCAGCTGGTTGGCCCCGCCTCCAGTGCACAGATTGGCAAAGGAGCACAGGAGAAAAATTCCCAGGACATAGGTTGATGTTGAGTTGACCCCAGGACCCTCCAAAGAGCAGAGCAGAAGTTTTAATAAGGCCATTATTTTGATGAGGGTGAGTGCCTAAATCCCTGAAGGTGGCTTACAACTGGCCTAGCCAGAGCTTCTCATGGGGAGAAGCAAAGAGACAGGGAACATAAGGTGTGTGAGTCACATCAAATATACATTAAAAGCACACATTTTCTGTTTTATTCCAAAAGCATTTTAATTGAATTTCTCAATGTTTGAAAAACAGATCCAAATTAGAGGTAAAAAGGAACGTGGAAAATTCAACTCAAGTGGTATCACGATCTCGGGGTCATGTTCCAGGCATGACGGAGCCCAAGAAGGCACAGCATCCATCCTGGGTCCAGCCTAAGCCTGCTGGCTACCACAATCTGTAGACCAAACCAGTGCCCTGTCCCCACATATCCCAGAGATGGGGACCTAAGCTGGTAAAGGCAGACACGAGCTTGCCAACCCCTCTCTGCCGGTCTTCAGTGTCACTTCATCCTGGGCAAGGTGGGCTTGGTTGCTAAGGGAGGCTTGGTGCCACAAGGCCGTGCAGCATGAGACTGAGACGGCGTGCTGCTTTTCCAAGTGAGTTGTGTGGCTCAGCCTGCAAGAACTGGAAGAGCTTCTGGCGCACCTGGGCCATGACGGAACCCATGTGGTCCCGAGTAATGGGATCACTGTGGTCTAAGTGCATCACAGCCTCCTCCAGGTAGCTGGAAGTGGTATATGATTGAGTATTATGGTTAGCATAGGAATCCAGAATTAAGGTTGCATAGAGAAGTGTACTCGGGGTGGGGGGGGGGGGGGAAGGGATAGAACACACAGGTGGGAACCAGGAAATGCGAACAGAGCGCCCCCTGGTGGTAATCAGGCCCAGGAGGACAGCTGTACAGGGAGATCTACAACACCTAGAAAGTGGGTGCAGGGGGCTAGAAGGAAGTGTGTTCAGGAAGGGAATCAGGCAGGAGTGGAACTTTATACTTAAAACACTCCTTACCCTTAACAATAACCAGGCTCCCAGCTACCCCTACTCACCTGAGCTTGAGGTCAGTTCGAGTGCCAAGGTCAGAGGCCAGCTGCTGGATGAGGGAGAGCAGCACAGGCTGAGAAAGTGGGCAAGGTGCCTGCCCAAAAACCTGGGCTGGGTCCACAGTTTCACACACATACAGCACCAGGTTCAAGTCAGCAGCCGTCAGGGCCTGGGGAGAAGGGGTCAAGGCATACAGATAGTGTTAGGTGGAAAGCCCACTTCCCTGTGCTCTTTAAGGCTGAAAGGGAATGACAATAAACGGGGGGCTCAGGGGTGCAGAAAATGTTACTCAGGAGCCAGGAAAGAGTACAGTGGAGCTATGTTTTATCCTAGGGGCTCACAGAAGGTTTCCTGAGAAGGGTGGTTATGATGTGAGAGAGGGCAGAGTTGGGGTGGGATGGGAAGAAAGGCGTTTAGACAGAAGCAACAACAGGGGAAACATGGGAGAGGCCTGCTGTGTACTGTGGAATAAGAGCTAACTCACAGCTGACTGTCCAGTGAGTTTTCAAGCCAGTCAACTACAGGACAGGAGACTGACATCTTTCTCCTACAAAGCGGCTCGTGGATTTGAACCACCTGCCTTTGGGTTGATTGTGATATAAGGGGAGGTGGGGGTTGGGTTAGAAAGGAAGGGCTCAGGTAGAAGAAGCAACAGAGAAAATAGCCCGAGAGAACCAAAACCAGTAATGTTCATGAGTGGAGGGACGAATGGAACGTAGGAAATACCGGCTTACACCTTACACAGGCCTAAGAATTCCTAGCTTACCTGCTGAAAGGCCTGATTGAGATGGCCTTGCTGCAGCATCTGCAGGATATGGGCTTGCTGGGCCTGGCAGTCAAGATGGGCTGCAGGGACTGGTGTGCCAGCAGCTGAGCGCATGGCCTGCATGATGCTGGAAGTAACCGCAGCCTGCTGCTCCTTGAGCGCCACGCTCACCTCACCCTTTACTATGCGCTGTACCTGGGCTAATATGGATTCCTGCAGGCTGCAAAGGGAAGTGAGAAGATGAGGTGAATGGGAGCAGCATCTGGCTTTACCCAAATTCTCCACCTTGCCCAGTGCCCTGCTCACGCACCTGCCCACAGCCACATGCAGCTGGTGCTGCACTTCAGCCCGAACACTGCTGGACACAGTGGCTGCCATCTGCTCAGTGGCACCTTGCAGTGTGCTGACCAGGCCCCGCAGCTGGGCAAGCACCGGCTCACGGGCCTCCTGTTCCCGTGCTTTCCGACTCTTCATGTGGCTCTCTAGTTGCTGCAAGTCTGAAGGGTGCCCACAGGAACTGTGAGATGGGTGGGGGAAGAAGGGGACATTCCTGCCTTGGGTCAAAAGGCATCACTCACATTCCTGCGTGCCTAGCCGGAAGCTGTCATTGATCTGCTGGAACATGGCTTGGCAGCTCTTCTCAAAGGCAGGCAGCACCACACTCTGGAAGGCTTCACGGTAGGCAGCCTGCATTGGTCCCTGTAACGTGTCTGCAGCTGCTCGGGCGATGGCATCTGTTAAGTTCTGGAGATGGATTGAAGGATTGAGTGGAGAGCCTGAGCTCAACCTGGCCTAATGACACCCATCAGCCCCTGCCTGCCACTTTAGGTCCTACACCACCTTGGACTTGAGCAGCTTGGAGATGTTTTCTTTCATGGTGCCCTCCACAGCTGTAAGCTTGGTGGCCACTGAGTTGCTCAGCTGGCCTGCGACAGGTTCCAGACTCCTGGAAACACCTAGTACAGAGTATGGAAACAGTAAGACAATGACAGAAAAATCAATCGGTTGGGAGCCCATTGATTCCTGTTCCCATGTGGTTCAGCCAAAGAAAGCACATGTGCAAAACTCACACGGAGGCACCGTCTTCTTGATTTCATCCCGTATACTGCGCTCAAGCCGCCCAGCCACAGCTGAAGACAGTGTCTGGGACAGCTGCTGTGTCAACTGCTCCTGCAACTGTCCACCTCGCTGCTGCCCTTCAGCCAGTGCCCGCTCTAACCGCCGCTCTACACTGTAGCTAAGGAACAGGTCCGCAGAAGGTTCCATATAAACCTCCTCCCAAGCCAGGAACACTTTTGCTTCCTCTACACCATCCTGTGTCACCCCCACACAAGGATACGCTCCTGCTCGTGCCGGGTCTCAAGGGCACGTTCCACGTGCCCAGTGACTGTGCTCTGCAGGCCTTCGAGCTGAGAGCACAGACGTTGCAGCAGTTCTACTTGGTTGTGCCGTAGTTCTGCCAGCTCTCGCTGCTGTTGCCAAATTATTGCTGGCCAGTCCTCTGGGGGCTCTGCCACCTGGCAGGGAACACCAACAGTCACATGACACACACCAGGTCAAGGAACGTCCCAGAAAACTCCCACTTATGTAGCAAGGGCCTTCACTCACTTACCTGGTGTTCTGTAAGCCGGGATCCCACAGCCAACTCCCTGCCAAAGACAAGCAGCATTTCAGGCTATGTCAGGCAGCCTGACAACCAGCCCCCTGGCCCCAGGGCTCCTCCCTACCCATCGTCCTTCTTTCCCTTCCTCTTGAGCTTGGGTGAGGTCCGAGGGGACCCTTTGCTCTTCCAGTCCTTGGCAGGCAGCCGTGGGGTGGGAACTTTGGTGCCAAAGCCCCCTGAGGCAGAGGCAAGGCTTGCCACCTCATCGTCATGGTCACTGTGGGAAGGAGAAGCAGGGGGAAGCAATGGCCACTCACTGACCTGCCTCAGGAAGGGACTGGAGTGGGGCAGGGAGCACTTACCTTTGCTCAGCACTGGCATCCTGGCTGTCATGTTGCTGCAACAGGTGATAAGGTGGTCGGTGAAATGCCAGGCTCTTGTGTTTTTCCTGCAGGCCGTTTCTGGGGCTGGGCCACGGGGGATAAGTCAACTCAGCAATAATGATCATCTGCAACCCTTCCCATTGGTCGACTCTGCCCTTCCCAGACTCACCTCTCCGCCAGGCTGCTACAGGTTTCACGAGTAATGTCGGGCGCTGTAGGCCAGACCTGACTGTCAGGGGCCACCACTTCCTGGTTCAAGGCTGCTTCCAGGAGGGAGGGGGTGCTATGTCTATCACCATCTCCTGTGCCTCCATCCAGACCGAGCTGTGAGCCCAGCTCAGGCCCTGGTCGGGGCCGTGGAGATAGCAGGTGTAGTGCCGAGGCAGCTGAGGCCATACTATCTGGTTCAAGGCCGTCAGGAGCAGAGGAGACGAAGCCACGGGACAGGGCCTCAGATGCAATCTCAGGGATGTCCTGGGATAGGGCAGTGGAGGCTGAGGAGATAACATCAGGAGAGCGGGTCCGGCTGGGAGAGGCCTGGGGTATTCCTAGGGGCTCCACCTCCTGCAGTTCCAAGGACAGTGAAGAGGCAGTGGTGGACACCTGAGGGGAGTAAAAAAATGAGGCACTGCTGAAAGGCTGTGGGGGTTGCTGCAGGACTATAGAAGCAAAGCTTTGACGTTATAGAGGTGAGGAGAAAAGGAGGTCAGAGATAGGGCTGCAGTCCAGGAGGAAAAGGGCAAGGGTAGGGAGGCTGAGGTGATGTCTTCCAGGGGACCAGGAAGGCTAAGGAGATTGCCAGGAAAATGTGGGGCACCAGAGGGAGAGCTCCAGAAAACTGCTGCTGCCAGTCCTCCTTGCAGCCTCCAGTTGCGGCCCTGAGCTTCCCTCATGCACAGACCTGCACAGGCCCTTTGGTGGTCAACTTGTCAGCCGAGGCCGGGAGCAGGCTGGGCAGGAGGCTGCGTGGGCTTGCCTGCAGGCTGCTGCTGCTCATTGTCAGGCCACCATCCAGCTGCAGCTTGGGGCTCAAGGTCAATTCCTCAGGTGGCCTGGTGGCAGGAAGGCTGGGGCATCAGCTTGGATAGTTTGGCATCATTTGGTATCACCTCCCATCCCTCAATTCCGGCCCCACCTCACCTCACCTGGGCAAGGAGGGGTCCACAACAGAGGCGCTATTCATAGCAGACACAGCTGTAAGAGGGCCGCTGCTGCTGCTGCTGCTGCTGCTACTGGGAGATGCAGTGATCTGGGAAGATGCAGACAGTGAGGGCCATGGGCTGCTATATGTGTGGGGTTTCCAGGATTCTCTAGCCTGGGGCCCAAGACCCTTCCCCTACACACCTGTTGCAGGGAGGCGCTGGGTGTCATGAAGGCGTCAGGTGTCATGAGTTTGGGTTTGGTCTCATTGCTCAGACTAAGGAAGTCGGCAGGTGCAGGTAGCTCCACAATACGGCGAAGGTCGGGCTGGGAGCCAGGAGAGGATGACCCCAGCCCATCGGGGGTCAGCTCAGTCCGAGAATCTCCAAATGCTGGGGGAAAAACTGCCACTTGAGTTGAATCTTTTCTACGCTACACCCAACCCATGTTCCTTTTCCCCCACACTCACCGAAGTCCTCATGGGCAGTGTGAGTGGGGAGTGGGGCTACCACATCAGGGTTCAGCTGCGGCTGGAAGCGAATCTGCACATCCTGCAGTGCTCTGCAGGAAGAGGAGAGAAGTCTAGGGGCCAGTGCGGCAGGGTGGGAAGGGGCACAAGTGTGCCAAGGTGGCCTCCCCAGCACACTCACTTTGTGTGAACACAGAAGAGCTTGATAAGCACCCCAGCTGCAGATTCCACAGCACCAGCTCCGTGGGGACCATCTGGAAGGACAGGATGGACAACTAGGGCCCTGGTCTCCTGTGCCTGGGCACTCACACATAACACAGACCCTCGGCTTAAGGCTGCTCACCAGTCCCCAGGTTGTCGTTCTCTTCCTCGGCTGGCAACACCTCAGTGTGTCGCAGCCGGCAGCGACTCACAACCTGGATACCGAAGCTCAGCACAGGGTGGGTGAGCAGGAACTCGGAGATGGAGCTGAAGCAGGCGTGGCCCTCCTCCTGGTTCTGGAGCAGTTCCATCACATAAAGGACCTGCATCACCAGGGCATTCAGAACTGAGCACGGGCCGTGAGAGCTATGGGTGTGCCACACCCTTTAAGACTGGTTTTGCCCAAGGGGACTACAAAGCACCCACCTTCCGTTGAACGTCACTGAGAATCAGGTACTCTGCTGAGAGGTCCAGACAAACCTTGAGGCTGGGGAGGACACTAACCGCACTGAAGATATCTGGGGAGAAGCTAGGGAGCCACAAGGCGGATCAACAGGACTGGGAGGGCTCAAAACACTCACATCCCCAGCTCTGCCACCACGGCCCAGTGGCCAGCCCCAGCCTACCGAATGGTCTGGAGGCAGGTCCAGGACACTGTGCACCACATCTTCAGCTCTCGATTCTGGTCAGCACCAGTAATGAGGAACCTCCAAAATGGGACCCTGCAAAGCAACAAGGCACTGGCTGGCTGGCTGGCAAAGCCTCCTGCCAGGAGATCATTGTTCAACCCCCGACTCGCCTGTCCACCCACTCACTCACTCAGGGTCCTGTTTCTTGTGGTTGTCACAGAAGAGGAGGCAGGAGAGGGGTCGCCCATCATGAGGTTTCCACTCATGCAGACACCTACAGGAAAGCAGGTGTGGCTCGCACGTGTGGTCTGGACTCCTACCTGACACAGGGCGCATTCCAGTCCTAGGGGCCTTGCCTTACCTTGGCTCATCCTGTCCCTCGATGTAGATCTGCCAGAACTTGACATAGCCATCATGGCTGGCAGTAGCCAGCACAGTCCCATCCGGCGAGAGTGCTCCTTCACTCAAACACTAGGAAGAATCCATAGAGTCTTACTTTGCTACCTGCCCTTTCCAGGCCAGGGTGGTAAGTGAGCTGACCAACAGAGACCCACTTATGTATGTGAATGACTGAACAGAGACAGTGCAGAACACCACATTTACAGGGTGCAGTCAGGTTAGGGGTGAGCTCCACAAGCAGGGCCCTTTTGAACTGCGTTCCCATGGGTAGAGTATCAATTAAGCTGTCTCGGCAGCTGGAGGTCCATATGATACAAAAGAACTATAAGGAAAAGGGGGACAGGCAGGGGACGCAGGAGGCTATAGGCTTACCGTGCTGTGGCCTTTCACCACGATAAAGCCCTGTTTGATCTGGCTGACATCCACAGGCCAGGTGCTATGGTTAGAGCGGAGCATGTCCAGGTCCCACACCTCAGCCTGCAGGAGAGAGGAAGGTGAGTGCTGGCCCACATTCACACCATGGTTGCTCTGCCACTGCCCCTCCTTGGTCCAGCCCCATCACCCGGTCCTCGTGCAGCAGGGCCACTATTGGGCTGCCCTCCTCGCAGCAGTCCTCACTCTCCTCAGGGATGAAGGGACACCAGATGATCCTTCGGAAGTGGTTCAGTGGTGTGCCCTCGGGTTGCCGAATATGAACCAAGATCTCCTCTCTAAGCAAAGCGTTAAGGGCCAGACAGGAGGTATGTCTGGAAGTCCCAGCTCTCTCCATCCTCCTTTCTATAGACTTCCCACCCCACTCATATGAAAGGATACTGAATTTTGCCATTAACCAGAGCCAAACGCCACACGAACAGGTTGCCTGCCTCATCTAGGCAAGCCAGCTGTGGAGAGTTGAGATGTGCAAAGGCCAGATCGGCCACACTGCCCGTGAAGCCCTTGAGCAGGGTCCGCTCTGATGTGCTGACACTGATCACTCGCACCATCGCGGAGCCATTGTTGGCAGCTAGAACCAGGAGAATGATGGACCATGAGCAAGTCACAGGCTCAGGAACAGTGACATCCTGCCTCACTGACAAAATCATGGTATCAAATTTGGTTTCCCACCCAATTCCCGAAGACCAGGTAGAGTACTAAGGAGCACAGGCGAGCATTCTATTGTGCCCCTAGATCTGAGCAGGATAAGAGGCCAAAAAGATGTCTGGGGCCTTTAACAGAATAGTGTCCCTGTCTCCACTTACCCCGGATGGCATAAGCCAAGAAGGAGTTGGACACAGCAATCAGGTTGCCATAGTAGTATTTCTGCTCCCAGTCGTATTTGGCTACAGGCTGGATTTTCACCTGAAAACCAAGAATGAGAAAGGTCTTAGAAGTTGAGGAATGGGGTGATTCCTAGAACCTTAATGGTCCTCAACAACCCTGGTTTCTGAGGAAAGGAGAGGTCACAGATGCAAAACCCAGCTGCCCATTCACCCCTCAGAGACTTGGAGCCAGTCTTGGCTTCTTGAGATTAGAGAGTACTAGGAAATTGCCAAAGTGGTCCCCAAAGGACTGGCAGCTTTAGGCAAAGAGAAAGAAGGAAAGGGAGAAACTGAATTGCTTCTGTCCATCCACCGTTAAGTGCCACAGCATCCTGGGGCCCACCTTGTTGCTCCCCCGAGCCTTGCTTGAAATGCTGGAGTCACTGCTGGCAACTATCTCAACCTCCTTGGCCAAAATTCCAATGCAAGTAGAACTGTCATCTCCTGAGAGGCAACTGGCAGCAAAAAGGATATACAAGCATTATCTCTTGTTCATCCAAAAGCTTGACAGGCAAGAGACAGACATAGTACAGGGACCCCGAGGTGGAAGACATCTAATCTTAAATGCCCAACTCTGTCTAGTTCACTAGTTTCCAGATTAGACCTTCAGCCCCTTTACCCACTTTCTTTCTAGGGAATGAGCTACTCCCTTCCCTTTAAAAGCATATACTCAAACAAGCCAAGCCCTTTTCCTCATCCTTTATCCCAGTACAAGTTCAGTGAGGTTAAGCGCTCCACCGTGGGTCATGGGGGCAGAAAGCAGCAGCGGCTGCTAACCCTTCTCCCATGATCTCATGCCTTCAGCTGTCAACTGCCACAGTATACCAGTACTATCACTATCACCCTCCAAGCACTCACATGACCTGCTTCTCCTGCAGGCTAATGGGTGGCATGGCTCGGAGACCAGGCTTGCTTTTTGAGGTACCATCCCCTGAGTTGAGGGGGTCTGGAACCAGAAGTCCATTGAGATCCCCATTGTAGGTGCTGGATGGCCGCTGGCTCTCTGCACTGGAACCTGAAGGCAGATAGGGACACACCGATGAGACGGTCAGACCTGCTGCAAGCCTCCTGCAGAGCTTCCTTCTAGAACTGTCAAGTGTTCTCAGAATTCAACTAAGCCAGGCATGGCCAGGGCTGGGGGGAAGAGAGTTGCTACAGCTCTTTCGCTCATCACTTCTTCCACAACCCTATGTGTGCCAGGACCAAGGATAAGCGTGAGGCTCTTATATCTTGTGGAGGGCCCTCTGATGCCAGGACCAGGTCAGCCCAGAAAGGAGCGAGAAGGAGGAGGAGGAGGAGGAAGAGGAGGAGGAGAGACTGTCCACATGAGGGAAGACATGGTAAGGACCAAGAAAGATTACACAGAGGTGCTATCATAGCCAGTATGGGCAAACACACAAATATGGGAGGGGAAAAGAGATTGAAAACTGCAGAGGCTCTCTGACTGCAGTGCTTAAGACTTTCTCTAAGGGAGCTCTGGTGGCCTAGTGGCAAGAAGCTGCACTGCAATTCCAGAGGTAAGCGGTTCAAATCCACCAGATGCTCTGCTGGAGAAGGAGGGGCAATTGCCTCCTGTACCCATCAGCTCTGAGTTGATGGCACGCGCGCACACACACACACACACACACACACACACACACACACACAAAATTAATAATTAATAAAAAAGAACTTTCTCTGTGAGCAATGAGAGCTACAGAAGTGTTTTAAATAGAGTGGTGATAAGACAGTTCTGGTTGGCAGGCTAATGGCTCTAAGGATGCTTACAGGATGGGTGACACTTAGTGAGAGATACCAGGGCTTGAACCAAGGCAGGAGCAGGAGCTGAGTGGAGAAGATGGGCTCCTACGGTATTGAAGGACACTGAAGGTAAGATATAGGAGTGAGAAAAGATGGAATCTGACCCATTCTGGAGACACCTCCTCGAGCAGTTAAACTCAGCAGGAACAGACACTATGGAGTGGGGTAGAGAGTCAGGAAAAATAGCATTTAAGTAGTCTGCAACTGGCTAGACCTTAAGCATTCTCACTGGCTCGGCCACCACTCTACTTACTCCCAGGGGGCAAAGAGACTAAGACTCCAAATTCAGAAACACAAGGAGCTTCTAGACCCAAGATGGTCTAGGGTTTGACACTGTGCTCTGCTGAAAAGGCAAAAACCAAGAGCTGGCTGGCAAATGGAGAAAGCAAGTGTCAATTAACAAACTAAGGAGTTAACAGTTAGTCTTCAAGCCGCTTCATTTGGTTCAGAGTCCCCTCATGCTCAAGGATAAGCCGCATGACCAGCTCCCATGAGGACAAAGAGATGGCCCAGGCTGCACCAGGTTGGCTATGGCCAAATTCTATCAAATTGTTTCTTACATCTAGTCTGCACAGGTGCAAAAGTGTCAGTCCCACAGGCAGCCTGAGCACCCAAGCCAAACTCATTTTTTGTCCACTCCAGACCTGGGGGCGAAGAGCCAGAGATCTCAGGCAGCAGATAAATTCACCAAGGATGTGAAGGTAGCTAAGCCTATCCTGAGCATGTAACAGTGCTTGTTCCATGTACCAGTGCATGAAGCTGTGGGTCTGGCTCTCCCAACAAGCACAGAAAAATGAAACAATCTTGAGGAAAACAATTCTCAGCTCTGGCTACATTCCAGTAGAATCACCAGCCAGTTCTTTGACCACTACAGTATTTCACAGGTCCTTGAACCTCTCAGGAGAGTTTGTTGCTCTAACAGTCCTGTTTCCTTTGTGGAACATCTATCAGCTACTATTCCTACAGGAGCAAATTTAAACACTGTTTCCTCTCTCAAAAAAGTCCTCAAGCAAGGGCAGTCAGTAGTTCCCAACTTACCCACCCTTCTATTATTCTTTTAATGACAATATCATGATTTTTAACCTTATTCATGCATTCTGAGGACTCCTTGAGGGCAGCCATAGCTCTAACTAATGTTTGAAAGAATGCAAAGAGATTAGGAGTTTGCAGATGTCGGTGGCCTGCTCTAATCTGAGCTATGCAGTCTGTGATTTGCTCTCATTTCAAAAAAAGTATAGAACTAGGGTTGGCCACTTTATCCCCCCAACCCCCACCCCCGCCGCGCGGAAATTCGTTTTAGAGCACAATAGGCCTTGGGTTCTCATTCTAGAGAAGGATATACTGGAGGGGGGCTGCACTTCTTCGGCACAGTACCTAGGATCATGCCTGGGGGCTCGCATCAGGCCTTTGCATCACCGCGAAAGGACAGGGACGCCAAGCCAGTCGCAGGGGGGGAAGCGAAGAAACCCCACAGGTAGAGGGAAGAGACTGCACCTTTAGCTTGGGAGCTGAAGGACGAGGCAACACAGCCAGACGCCGGGAGGGGGAGGCGCCGTATCTGGGCTTGCGAATCTACGACGCTGACCCTAGTCCGCCTTCTCCCAACCCGGAGGATCCAGAAAGGATCCCGCGAACCTTCAGAACGTTCGTTCCCGCACCACCCTCGGGCCCGTCCGCCCGGGGCCCACCCCTCACTGTCCCCGCTCACCGCCCGCGGGCCGGTCCAGCTTGAGAATATCTCGCAGGTGCTGCGTGGCGTCTTCGATGTCGATGCTCGCGCAGGAGGAGGCCATGGGGCCCGGCGCGGGGGCTGCGCCCGCGCTCGTCGCCGCTCCGTCGCCGCGCACCGCCCACCGCCACTGCCGTGTCGGGACAGACGGCGCAACACCGGCCACAGTGCTCAGTCCAGCCGCAACCAGGGAACCACCGCCCGCGCAGTGTCCCTGAGCCCCGCCAACCCCACCAACCGCCTCCACTTCCGGCCCGCAGAGGCTCGGCTCCCGGAACCTGCGCCGAGTGTAGAAGAAAGGTTCCGGGCTAAGGGCGAATACCACATTCCTACCGAGAGGGAGGACCCCGCGATGTCCGCGGGTTCGGGGACAGTGCCGCAGGGTTGATGCGGCGCGCGTCCACGTACCACGCAGCTCAGAGCTCAAACGCTTCGGATCCCGCCCCGCTCATTCCTTTGGGCAGGATAAAGGGGCCAGTATAGATCAACCCAGGGTTCAGGCTGAGAGCTGTAAGGGAGAAGCACTTTTTCCCTTTAAAGGCTATCAATCTATGAAGGATAGGGGTAATTCACGGGGTCCTAAGAACCAGGAATCACTATGGCAGGGGAAATGATCCTACCATAGCCAGTCATTGTTCCTTATTGCCCCAGCATACCCTTGCCCCACCAGGTACCCTCAGGCAGGAAGGAAAAAAATCATCCATTTACAAACACTTCTTTATTGCAGACATTTAGGCACAGGTACATGGAAGAAGCTGTATTGCAGGTTTTATACAGGGTGGTTTAAGAGGCAGCAAGCATCTACCTCTCCCCAACCCCTACCTCCCAAATACAAAGCAGCCTGGAAACCAGTCCTAATGAAACCTCCTGAGTTTGCAATCTTCTCAGAGATCCCTCCAGCCTGTAGCCAGGCAATCTGTGGGGTCTGAGGCAGGCTTTGTCCTCTATCCACAGTCAGAGGGTAGTGGGGGTGGTGTTTACAGGTCAGGCTTAGCTGGGGTACTCTCACTGGGGCAGCAGCCCAAATCCTGAGGTTAGTCACCATTGAACACCAAGTTTACATTACCCAGGGGTCTCAAGGCTGAGGCACTAGATTGAGCAAGACCTCTACTCTCAAAACCGAGGTGCAGAGAAAGTCCCAACAGCCTGAAGGCTGTCAAAGTATGTGCAGCAAGGGAAGGAACAGAAAAGGAGCCCAGAAAACATCTTGCAGAGGTTTGAGGGATGGCAACTCTGGGGCATACAACCCTTCTTCCACAGTTCCAAATCTAGACTCCAACTCAATTGGACCTAGTTCTATTGGAGTCTGGTTATTCTCACCATCCATCCACTTTTGAGGCAATGACACAAAGTAGTGGCACAGAATCTGAGTTGCCCTCTGCTTCGCTTAGGGCTTGTGGGGCACTGAGGATATGATTCTGACCCTTTGGGGGGTTAGAGTGTGAAAAGAGCCCCCCCCCCCTTTATTCCACAAACCTCTGCTTATCTTTGATCTTAATGAGACCCAGCCCAGAGGACCCGTGCCTGAGGGGGTTTTTGTCAAGGTCTCTCCAGCTTCAAGGGATTTCAGGGAATACCTCCTTGCGATAAAACCTAGCTGTCATACCAGAAATATTCTTCCTGTTACTAGGACCCTAAACCTACCTACTGCAGAGGTCAGCAAGTGTCAGAACAGACCCGTGTCCTC